ATTCCTAAATTTAGGTAGAGTCTGTTTGGATTTGTGATTTAAGTTTCTGTAACAAAATCTCATACCTATATTGTATTTGTTTTGCCATTGACTTGTTTACTAAGCTTCATAATACTGCATTTTCTTAATTCTTGAATAGAAACTTTGTGGTTTCCTAGGTTCGCTGAATAGGCTTGTGTTTCTTATTTAAAGTGCGCACTCAGCACAATGCCATTAGATCTCGTGCTAAGTAAGGACATTGCTTTATCAGCACAAAAATAGAAATTTTTATCAGGTTAAACTCAGGTGACATTTGTTACATTTTAGTACTATATATAGCCCTTTTTAGCAATTGGTAAAAAATTTAATAGAATTTCAAAGATGCTGTAACATGGAATTACTGCCTTGGAATTTATTGTAAAATATGGCCTTAGCATTCTCAATATGTTGCAATGTAGATGCCTTTTCTCAGGTATCCTATTATGTTGTAATAGGGTCTCCTGATTGTGCAGAGTGTTGGACTGGAAGATCTCCCTTCCAATTCTGTTATTCTGTTATCATCCAGTTCTTATTTGTTAATTTGAGATTTGCCAAAGATAGTTTATTCTGGAAGGGCAATGTAAAAGAGCATAGATAACTTCAGTGGTCAGCTGTGTGTTACAGGACCCTCCCTCTTCTTTCCAACAATATAAGTTTTAAAAGGAAGATGCTACTATGTATGATAGCTTTTTTTTCCTTGATTCAAAAATTTTGCAGCGTTTTGAAACTGACATTGTTTGCTATTCTAATCCATTTTTATAAAAGTTCGAACCCAATCTTTAAGTAGCTTTGAAAAGTTCTACAAGGGCCAATAATCTGCCATTTTTGTATTTATTACAAATTCAAGAGACTAGCCTGCAAATAATGTGCAAATTAGCTATAGAGAAAGATTTCCAAAGGACATTACAGTAAATGAGTAATCTTAATTCAATAAAAATATTACATGCTAAGTTTTGAGACTTCATTTTATCATTATATATTGATAGGATGTGAACAGTGCTGCTGAATGCATAGATACATATATTTAGCTATTGCTCAGAACTGTGGTTGGCAAGAATCAGGAAATTGTTGCTAGCATTTAAAGTAGGACTTCCATTCTGTCTACTTGCTTTGAGAAAGCCATAGTTCCGGTATACTATGAAGCCTCAGTGTTGCCTAGGGATGTGGTGGTTCAGTGGCTAAGACGCTGAGCTTGTTGATCAGAAGATCGAAAGTTCAGAGGTTCGAATCCCTAGGGCCACATAACGGAGTGAGCTCCTGTTATTTGTCCCAGCTTTTGCCAACCTAGCAGTTTGAAAGCATGTAAAAATGCAAGTAGAAAAATAGGGACCACCCTTGGTGGGAAGGTAACAGCGTTCCGTGCGCCTTCGGCATTTAGTCATGCCAGCCACATGGCCACGGACAGCACTGCCTCTTCGGCTTAGAAACGGAGATGAGCACCGTCCCTAGAGCCGGAAACGACTAGCACGTATGTGCAGGGAAACCTTTATCTTTACCTATTATTGCCTAAACAGGACTGTGCTTTTTATAAGTACCAGCAGGCAAGACCTCAGGTTAGGGGCAACTATAAATCTCTGTTTTTCCAGAAACCTGCCGTGAGCAAGGAGCTAGCATACCTGGCATTGCTAGATAAACTCCTTTATTGTACATAAGAAGCCACACAGCTGTACAGGTACTGTACCGATGTCCTTCCTACTGCATAACACACAAGCTGTCTATATATATCATCTCCAGGTTTTAATGCTTGAATCTGTTCCTTGTCTTTTCAAATCAAAAGCTTTTTGGCTTTTCTTTTCCTAACCTTGAGGTTCAAATGTAAATTCTCCGTGTTCCCACAGTGATTCTCTCTGGCTCTAGCTATGCTAGTTCCCACCTCTCCTTTCAGTCCTTACCTAAGAAACAGTCTCTTGTCACTTTTTATTGAATCCATTATATAGCACATAGCTAACTTTTCTGGGTGGCATTGCTGAATTTTTCATAGACAAACTGTTGATGATCTGTGAATAAACTCAGTGCTAAAACAGTTTTCCACCTGCATCTTTTAGTTGGAGTAACTAGATTCAAGTATATAAACCCCAAGTCAGATATCTTTTTCTTCCTCCTCCTCATGTAAATTACCAGTATATGTACAATTCTTGACTTCATTAGAGATTTTGAATATCGTTGTGAATTTCTGTCCTGCTAAAATGCAGAAAGACATGTAACTTTAAGCAGTATAATCAGGTTTATTTTCAACAAATTCTTGTTCTGAAAATGTTTTACTTAAATTTTGAAGTTGGCATACTCACCATATTTTTCGGAGTATAAGACGCACCATGATTTTGAAGAGGCAAATTAAAAAAAAAGTTTTTGCACTCTGCAGACCTCCCAAGCCTTCTGCAGGGGTAGTTTTTTTTGCACAAAAAGGAGGAGGGATGCAGAGCTTTGAAAGGCTTGTAGAGTGCTCCTGGGGGCTGGATTTTCTGAATTTACTCCAGTGCAGTGTAGTGGTTATGAATGCACTGTATTTTTCGGAGTATAAGACCTTTTTCCCTCAAAAAAGAGGGTAAAAATCTGGGTGTGTCTTATATACCGAGTACAGCATTTTTGGCCTGCCGAAACCCTGCCCCCTTTGTAAAAAATGGATGTGCAGAGGGTTTGGGAGGCTTGCAAAGTGCTCCTAGGACCTGGGAGGTGGCAAAAATGGCCCATTTTTTGCTCTTCTTTTGCCCTCCCCAGCCCCCAGAAGCACTTTGCAAGCCTCCCAAACCCTCTGCACATCCATTTTTTGCAAAGGGAGCGGGGTTTCAGCAGGCCAAAAATGCTGTTTTCGGTATATAAGACACATCCAGATTTTTACCCTCTTTTTTGAGGGAAAAGGGTGCGTCTTATACTCCGAAAAATACAGTGTATTCATAACCACTACACTGCCCTAGAGTAAATTCAGAAAACAAGGCCTATAAGACCTGTAAACAAATAAAAGCAAATATATAAGAAATAATAAGTCACAGAAATTAAAGATATGAGAGAGACATGTAGTTAAATCTAGTTTGCCCAAATATTGTGTTATTCATTTTGTGTATGTGACATTTGTACTGGTCCCTCTAGCATCCAGTCCACATTCATTTCCCATTCTTGATCTATTTCTTCTTGTTATAGGTCTTAAGCAATTCATTCCCATTGCAGTCAGCTTCTTCTTTTCTTGCCATACATAACCATCACTTTCCTCACAAAATGAGCAGAAGCATGTTCTCTCCCATTTTCATGCGTTTACACAAATATTGATTCCTTGAAGAAGGTTATGTATTATCCCTTCATATTTTTACCAGCATTTGCACATCTTTAAATGTTTCCATTCATGTGCTTGGTCTAGGTTTTTCCATTTAGGAATAACTTGGAACAATTCACTTTGTTACTTCACAAACACAACAACTACCTTAATCTTGACACTTTAATTTTAGAGCCAAACTCCTTGTTCCATTGTGCAACTTCATAGTCATTGCAAATCATTTGAATCCTTTGCAGCACAAATTGACTGCACACAAAAACGCATGACCTCACCATCATATCTCTGATTTCACCACAAGCTGCCCCTGTAAATTTATCCATAAATACATTAATCACAAGGTAACATCACAGTTCTCTGGTTAATGTTGAACCATTTCCTGAACTTTCTTTTTATTTTCCATGAGGTTTATTTTCATCACGTACTATTTTTGTTTCATTTAGCAGCATATCTTCAACATATTTGTACAAAACATTCCACAATGAAAACTAATTAACTTTTGTCATATGCTTTTTCAGTATAAGCAGTCATACAATAAACGTTTTTCTCACATCAAACACTTCCTAAAGACTTATGAAGAACAAAAATATGAACTACCCACTTCTATCTTGCTATGTTTCATGTTACTTTTACTCTTGAAAAGAGTTAAATGTAAGCTTAAAGATTTATCTGGGAAGAAAATAAGTGACATATTCATACAACTATGTCTGACTAGTGGTTATTAGTGTTCCTGGCTAAGATATGACCCTCCTATGTGATGGTATGTATGTTCAGAATTCAGCTCATTCAAATTTTTATAAATAAACTGAAAAAAATGGTTTTTGGCTGAACTATAGTAAATATAATTGCTGGAAATTTCTGCCTACCTATCTACCTACCTATCTAAAACTGGTCTGAACCAGTCCTTAAATACATATAGGCTAAAATTCTTCAAAGACACCTGTCTTATTAATTTGAAAAATAGGTTATATAGCGTAGTAAACGTTGCTTTGCACATTCTTTTGAAAAGTTACAGACATGCTTTCTAATTTTCTCTATGAATATAATATAAAAGATGCAGTATTACAGGAAATACCTTGTATAAAATGCTGTGACTTAAATTGCCATTTTTTGACAGCCCTTCTAAGGGAAAATGGTCTTTTTAAAAATAGTAATTACAACTTTATTTGTGTTATAACCTGACTGAATACTTAGCACAGGGGTATTGGAAACATTGGTAACTATATTCACAAGGGCCACAAACATTTCACAGTGATAACTCTTATCTTTCGAGTGCAGAAGTATACTCCTCCCTTACAAGATAAAACTAAAACTTCCAGCTAATTAGATAGAAATATATTTTATATGTATGCATTTGTATGTTTTATGTTCTTTAAATTATCATTCCAGTTATTTTTATTGGTTTATGTTCACAATTTTACAGTCTCAGAGTATTTCTAATAACTGGGCTGCTTTAGTTTGTTAAAATGTACATCTTTAAAACTTTTCTCAGTTGTTAGCTTGCTGGTGTTTGAACTGCGCACCACCCAAGTTTAGTATGACATCATTATGCAAAGTAGCACAGACCGGCTTGTAAAAGTTCTTCAAGGAAGTTTGCACAAGCATCTGGACTTCTGCTTGTGCCATTAAACAGAAGGCATTAATCAATGTGCTAGGAATGGTAAAACTCAAACATGGACTTCTTTAAAAAAATTGTGCCTTCTGTCATGTCAGACGTTGGAAATACCGTCTCTGAAAATTCTCCGAAACTATTGAAAATGAGGCGCATCAGTTTGTTTTCGTTAGGACAGACTTTAGATGAAGATGGCATTCATTTTCTGCATTCCAATTACAGTATGTATTGATGTGCCTTGATTATGGGAAATTTGAGAGCTAGTGTAATTTTTAAAAGATAGTGCTATTATTTGAGCTATAGCAATCAGTTTCCTTGCCTTGAAAATGAATTTGTGTACCATTTGCTGGAGAGGTCATTTATTTAAATGGTATTCAAATCATACATCCTTCTGTGAAAGGTAATCGGGCTGCAGTTTGTAAATTGCAAGATGTAATGTGGAAAAGTGTATTCAGTATTGATACTGAATATAGTATTCTTTTTCTGTTTTTGTTTTGCTTCCTTAGGTGTAAGATAATATTAAAGCCCAGTTTATGCATTTGTTCTGTGCCAATCAAAGAGTTCATTATTTTTATTTGGAATATATTTTTAATCTATTTCTGTGTATTTTTTATTTTGGGCTTTGTTAGCTGCCCAGAATTATTTGATTAAGATATCCTTATAGTTTTTAAAAATAAATATTTTATAACTTTTGTACAAGAAAATGAAAGACATCTGAGGAGATTACTGAAGTAAATACAAGAAAACATTTCCATGTGTATTTTTGTCAATATTTTTGGGAAAAGAGAACAATTTACTAAAGCAGTGAGAGCTATAGTAGAAGGAAGAGGTTAGTAAATATAATCCCCCTTTTCTTATTCTAAGGATGCTTGCGCGATTTAACCTGAAACATGTTTCTCATAAGATTAGGGAACAAACAAGGTGAACTTGAAGTATTAGTACATGAAGGTAGGTATGATATAGTTGCCATTACTGAAACTTGGTGGGATGAAATTTATGACTGGAATGTACTTATGGAAGGATACAAACTATTCAGAAGAAACAGACCTAACAAAAGAGGAGGTGGAGTTGTATTATATATAAAAGATCACATCTCTACAGAAGTACACAAAACCAAGGATAAAAATCTCCTAGAATCCATATGTCAATATAAAAGAGGGAAAAAATGACATTGCTAGGCCACCCAATCAAGCAGAAGAAATAGATGAACTCTTTGCTAATCAATTAACAAATGTATGTAGTAATGGGAGACTTTTAACTACTCTGATACAAATGGGAGACGACACACAGGAAGTAGGAGATTGGATTTAGCTGTCAATTTTTTCAACCAAAGGTAGATGAGGGAACTAGAGGAAAAGCTATACTGGATCTAATTCTTACTAATAGAGAAGAAATGATAGGAGTTGAAGTTGCTGGAACCAACTTGGGCGAGAGTAACCATGCCATATTGAAATTCAGTATAATGCTAACACAAGCAATAGAATATAATCCAACCTGTGTGTTAAAGTATAAAAGAGCTGATTTTAACAAACTCACAAAGAGCCTAAGAAAAATTCATGGATAAAAATGGCAAGGAAGTGATCGGCAGTAGAGAAATATTAGTATCAATTTATAAATCCTAAGTAAGACCACATCTGGAGTGTTGCATCCAGCCTTGGTTACCACATTACAAAAAAGATGTTGAGACTTTGGAAAACGTGCAAATAAGAGCAAGTAAGATGATTAAGGGCCTGGAGACATCAACACATGAAGAATGGTTGCAGGAATTGGGTATGGCCAGTCTAGAGAAAAGAAGGGATAACATGTTAGCAGTATACTAGCAGTATTCCAGTATTTGAAGGGCTGCCACAAACAAGAGGGGTACAATTTATTTTCCAAAGCACCAAAAACGAGATAAACAATGGATGGAAACTAATCAAGAAGAGAACAAAGCAACTTGCAATTAAGGAGAAACTAACAGTGAGAACAATTAACCAGTGGAACAGCTTGCCTTCAGAAGTTGTGGCTGCTTCATCACTGGAGGTTTTTAAGATGCTGGACAGTCACTTGTCTGAAATGGTATAAGGTCTCCTGTTTGAGAAGAAGGACTAGAAGACCTCCAAGATCACTTTCAGCTCTGTTCTCATTGATTTATTTCAATTAGTATATCTTAAATTTCTTTTTCATTTTGTAAATAATACACATTGAATAGCTATTTCCTGGTGTTTTATCTGATTCTGGAATTGCAAATAGAGTCTAGCTCTGAAAGTGTGTGGATTATGTTTTTCCTTCTTAAACAAGATTATACCAAGTAATATTGTTAATGTAATTCCCATTTTTGTTAATCTAATTATTATATTTGAGCTCTTTTCTAAGGAAGAGCTGTCCAACAAAACTGACCAAGCCATGAATCATCCAAACAATTTTGGCAAATTTTCCTTACATACAGACTTGACATTCTCCTATGGTAATTCTAATAGCACTAAAATATAGAAACTGATCCAAAGTAATATTTGAATTGAGGACTTAAAGTTCCCAGGCTAGTTTTAATTTTGTAACTTGGTGAAATGAACATGCTTGGATTTAAAATAAAATGTTCCAGTCATACATATTATAAATGTTGGAAATGATGAATCATTGAGCATTATAATGCTCAATGGATACCTGAGAGACCGCCTTCTGCCAATTACATCCCTGCGACCAATAAGATCCCATAGATTAGGCCTCCTCCGCATTCCATCAGCCAGCCAATGTCGGCTGGCAACTACAAGGAGGAGGGCCTTCTCAGCAGTAGCCCCGACCCTTTGGAACGAGCTCCCCGTGGAGATTCGTACCCTCTCCACCGTCCAAGCCTTCCGCATAGCCTTGAAGAACTGGCTCGCCCGTCAGGCCTGGGGATAAGGATGCCTACCCCTCCCGAATGATGAATGCATGTTGCCTACTATTTTATTATATGTTGTATCTTAATGTCTGTATTCCCCCTCCCGGTTTTTCTGTGAGCCGCCCTGAGTCCCCTCAGGGAAAAGGGCGGCCTACAAATTCTAATAAAACCATAAACCATAAAACCATAATAGGTTCAGTATAGTGCTTGATTTAAATGGCTAGCTAGAAAGAAACGTTGTGGTTTGAACTGTCTGTTGATAACATTAATGTATACTTAATTCTAGTGTAATGCATTCTCCAAAATAGCCACTCTTGAGTTAGCTTGTTGAGGTGGTTGTATAATTTCTTTTTTAATTATAAAAAAATAGTAATAGGCATTTTAACAGAAATATAGCCATTATGTTCTGAGCACTGTCCCCACAATCAAAAAGTAGAACTTCAGGAAATTTTTGACGATTACTTTAACTTTTTAAATGAGCACAGATTTCCTGCACTTCAACTAGCGAACGAACTTACTTACTTATTTACTTACTTACTTACTTATTACCTACTTACTCACTCACTCACTCCCTTCCACAGAAATCTGAAATTGGATTGGAATTTTAAATATAATTCCTTCAGGTGCATTTTTTTTTACTCCATGAAATACAGCATACCCCAATTAAATACTTCACTCTTTTCCCCAGGCCTTTCTGCCTTGTTAAAAAGTGATAGGTGATTGACGCTACATATGAGGAGATGTAATGAGTCCTTTGTGCTCTCCGAGCTTTGTTATTTCCTTGCAGATATTTCATTACATTACCCAAACTAGGTAACATCATCAGCACTAGCACTGATAATGTTACATAGTTTGGATAATGGAATGTCTACAAGAAAAGAACCAAGCTCAGAGAGCACCAAGGACCCGTCATTTTAATGAGTTGCAAATATTCTCCTTTATGGAGATTTTGTCTGTTTGATTGATTGATTTCTGTAGCCATTCACCTTAGGAAATGATTCTGGGTGGCTTACAAGTCAAAACATATATTACTATTAATTTTTAAAAAAAAAAACATTTAAAACAGTAATTATAGTAAAACAGTAGAAAACATTAAAACATTTAATTCAAAGTACACACAAGAGCAAGATATCTGGCCCGTTAACATTATAGCCAGGAAGTAGAGCCCTTGGCACAGGTGACACCTGGACTTGTAGCCTAGCGAGGTTTGTAGAGGCCATTCTAATCTGTGAAGGAAGGATGTTCCATTGAGAAGGGGCCGCTGCAGAAAAAGCTCACCTTCTAGTTCCCGCCAAATGACATTCTTTGACTGATGGGGTCTGCAGCATGCCTATTCTATTTCAGAATAGAATGGAATGGAATGGAATTCTTTATTGGCCAAGTGTGATTGAATACACAAGGAATTTGTCTTTGGTGCATATGCTCTCAGTGTACATAAAAAGACAAGATACATTCGTCAAGAATCATCAGGTACAATATTTAATGATAGTCATAGGATACAAATAAGCAACCAGGAAACAATATCAATATAAATAGTAAGGATACAAGCAACAAAGTTACAGTCCTGCAGTCATAGGTGGGAGGAGATGGGTGATAACACCTTGAATTGTACCTGGAAACACACTGGTAATCAGACACGTGGCAGCGTTCCGCACCTGTTGAAGTTTCCAAATGGTCTTCAAGGGCAGTCCTATGTAGAGCATATTGCAGTAGTCTAATTAGCAGGTTACAAGGGCTTGAGTTACTGTGAGCAGGGCACAACAGATGTACCACCTGAAGGTGTGCAGAGGCCCTCCTGGCCACAGCTGCCGCCAGCTCTTCGAAGCCACAAGTGTAGGAGGGCCTCCAGATTGCACACCAAGTCTGTTTGGGGTAGTGCCACCCCATCCAGAACCAGAGATGGAAAATCTTGGTCTCCAGGGAGGTCCAGATACCCATAGCCACTTCGTCTTGCTAGGGTTGAGTCACAGTCCGTTTTGCCCCATCCAGATTGCATTTTGATGTCTTCATTTGAGCTTTTCATAACTTGTTGGGACAAAACATTTGAATGGAATGCAAGGATTTAACTAAAAGAACTAGCCAGACCGCAGAGGGCAGGAGTATTGAAATCCAGACATTTGAGTATGCAAGAAACTATCTTTTCTTTTTAATTTTTTTTCGACAGAATAGAATTGTTCAGAGCTATTCCAGAAAGCAGAACAGGGAACAGTGGATTGCAATGAAGCAGATTTTATATCAAAATATTTCCAAATATGTAGAGTTCAACAGCAGAACAGGCTATGTTGATTCTCTTTTGCTTGAGGCGTCTAAGCAAAATCTGGATGGCCATCTGTTGGGGATGCTTTAGTAGAGGATTCCTAC